CTTTTAAGCTCTATATTTGCATTTTATGCACTTCATTCCCCTTTTAATGTTATTTATATTTTATGCCCCCCCCCCAACCACCCGGCTGTTTTAGGACATGGAGATACTAGGATCAATCTCAGGGTTTATTGTGAGAATAAAATGAAGTATAAAACCGTGTAGAGCTCTCAGAATATGCCTGGGACTTTATGAGACCTTAATAAATGTTATCTATCTAAGCACAAGTTTGATGTTGTTATTTTTTTTCTTATTTGTTGCTAACCCCACCTGCTTTTTCATATTTGTTGCCAACATTTCTCAGTTTGCGGTTTATATATCATTTCTGGTAATGCTATCTTCCGAATTATCAGTCTTTCCCCTTGTACTCTTTTATTAAGAGACTATTATTAAAGTCATTTCTTTTTAAAAATACCTTTATTTTTAAGTTTATTTTTATGTGGTGCTGAGGATCACACCCAGTGCCTCATATGTGCTAGGCGAGCACTCTACCACTGAGCTACAATCCCAGCCGTCCCTTTGTACTCTTTTAAATCTTTTAAAAATATTTTTTAGTTGTCTATGGACCTTTTATTTATTTATATGTGGTGCTGAGAATTGAGCCCAGTGCCTCATGTATGCTAGGCAAGTATTCTACCACTGAGCTGTGACCCTGGCCCCCCTTGTACTCTTTATCATTTCTTTAAATCACAGAAAGTGCTGTCTAATCCAGAGATTTAATAAAAATATATTTTGTTGAAGTTTTAAAAAGGGTTGCTTTTGAGCATTTGATTCTTTTCATTCCTTTTATAATAAGCAAAATTTTATCTTCAGAATTTATTATTTTAACTGCACAGGATTATTAGCATTCCCATCTCCTGGAACATTTTTTTTACAATTTCAATTAACACATAATGTACATATTTTAAAGGTACAGTGTGACATTTAATTACATGTATATAATGTACATTGACCAATTGGGCTAATTAATGTTAATTTTGTGTTTGGAGTCTTTGAACTCCTCCCTTCTAGTTCTTCATTAACTATATATAATAGGATATTGTGAATTGTAGTCAAACAATATGTTGCAAAACACTAGAACTTATTACTTCATTGTAATATTAAAGAAGAACTAGTACACAATGATATAAAGTCTACATTATTTCTGAATTTTATCTGGAGTTCATATTTAGTGTCATGGGAAAAATAAATTGACCTTTTTATTTTTCCAATTGGGTAATGAAGTTCTCCCCACCACTACATGAACAATTCATCACTCCCCACTGACTTCTGCTGTTGTCTCCTCTTGCATATGTTAAATTCACAACCATTTGCACTAAAAGCATAAACCTGAAACTTGGTACTCTGAATGTAATAATGCAACTCAGAAGTGGGCAGAGGATGGTTGCCAGGTAACAAGATGGATAGCTGCAATAAGGTGAGAAAGAGAAAGTAGAAAAAGCTTCTGTCAAGAAAGTTTTCCTTAAAAACTCCATCCTTGTTTGTGGCACTTGTTGCTATGACATTTGGTTTATTATGTCTGCAGATCTTTGATTTTCTCATGCATCATATGCATGTAATAACACATGGTGCTATGCAATGAAAACTAACCCAAGTAGCAAAACACAGGCTTTGGGGTCAGTCAGTCCTGTGTCTCATCCCTGGTTCCGTCACTAAATACCTACATGACCCTATGTAAGTTTCTTAACTTTCCATCTGTTTTCCTTATCTGAAATATGTGTCAATTAATAGCAATCAAATCAATAGTTAATTAGAAATTGTGTCACCTTTTCATTTCTATTTCAAAATGCCTGAAGAAAACAAAAGGAAAGGTTTATTTTGGTTCACAGTTTCAGAGGTTTCAGTCCGTGGCAACTTGGCCCCATTGCTTTTGGGTATGTGGTGAGACAGTACATTATGGTGGAGGAAAGTTTATTCACCCATCCTGGCCAGAAACCAAAGAGAGAGAGAGAGAGAGAGGGAGGAAAGGGCTGGTATCCCAATATGCCCTTAATGAGCATGCTTTCAATGACCTAACTTTACCACTAGGCCCACACATCCTAAAGATTCTACCACCTCCCCATAGTTCCACAGGCTGGAGACCAAACGTTTAGCATACCAGACTTTGGGGGACACTTAAGATTTAAACCATACCATAAATGAAAAATAATACTAATTCCTGTCTTAATACATTTAAAGGGCTTAGCCTGGGGTACCTGGCACATAATAAACTTCCAGTACATCACAGTTGTTATGATTTTAATTTTTGTTGCCCTTGTGTTAGGGTCAGGGAGATAAAGAAGATTCAACAAAGGAACTAGGCACCAAAGGGATCTGGAGAGGGAAGCCATGAGAGTAGTGTCATGGAAACAAGGGAAAATAGTATCAAGAAGAAGGGAGATAATGCAAAATGAGGTCACTCAAAGGCTGGTTTCTCCTGACCAGAAGAAAGAGCAATTTTCATCTTCACATTTTAATGACTAATGTGAATGAAGGGAGAAGGGAGGGGAAAATCTGATAATTTTAAATGAAGAGTATCAAACACAAAATCCTCTAAAAGTCTTCTTTCACTTAACCCCATTATTCAACCTAGGTCTTCCATATCCTCCTTAAAGAAGGTATGTATTTCAGGGCTGGAGTTGTAGCTCAGTGGAAGAGCGCTTACCTAGCATGTGTGAGGCACTGAGTTCAATTCTCAGCACCACATATAATAAATAAAAGCCCATCAATAACTAAGAAATATTTTTTAAAAAGAAGGTATGTGTTTCTCACATTAAGGAAAAGTCAATGTCACACAAATTGAAAAGGAAAGTATCAGTTTTGCATCATTTTTTAGTAAAGTAAAAATTCAGAGTTTCAAGTTTACACAATAGAAGAAGATGGGGAGGGAATAAAAGGGGAAAAATTCCAGAGCAGGTTTTCAAAGCAACAAGTCTATATGGAACCTCGAAGTTAAAACACCAGAGAAAACAAGTGCCATAGTAGGGATAGCATTTTTTTTCAACATGGCTTCTGAAAGAAATTGTGGCAACATAAATGGTAAATCTGGGTAAATCTTCAATGGCATTTCTAAAGTAAAATTAAGAATTGTTGAGCAGGAAAAGCAGGTAATGAAATGATTCTAATGATTTGGGATAAACGAACTATGGGTGGGTAGATATGGGAGGGGCTGGAGGGAAAAATAAAGGGCTATAAAACTATAAGAGTATTAGGGCCCCCTGTGGCTTTGAGGGCCTGAGTGAAGCTGCCCTTGCCTGCATGTGGGGGAGGGGTCCCCTTTGGCTCTACAGAGAGGGAGGTGGCTTCCAGAGGCCCAGAGGTGCCCCAAAGGAATTCATGGATTGGGCCTCTTAAGCCATCACCTCTGGTCAGGCCTCAGCTAAGGGGTCAGAGGCAGAAAGGCCCTGCCAGTCTCCTTCTGGCCTTGAGGGTCAAGGAGGCTGAGGTTTAAGGCCAACATGGAATGCTGGGGGCAGGAGGGGGGTGATGGGCAGAGCACAGGAGGCAGAGCCTCCACCCCTCTACTAAGAGATGAGAGAGGCTCCAGGGGAGGGGGCAGCTGTAAAGTGAGATTGTGGGGGTAGAGGTGGAACAGGACAAGAGGCCAGGGAGAAACAGAGCTGATGGGGCTGCTTCTGGAAGGAGAAGCAGTGCAAGGCAAGTTCTGGGTGTGGCAGCTCATGGAAGGCTGCATGGGTTTCTAGTAGCACCTGGCATCTCCTCCCTGGGGCCCCAGCCTGTACCTGCTTTGTCCCTACTGAGTGAGCCACAGCCTGCTGACTTATTTAGAGTCCCAGCACCTACCCTCTCCCCCTCCCCACCCACAGCCCAGGATCCTATCCTCCTTCCTGTTCCTGTCAATCTGGAGGTGAGTGCTGCTGCCTGGTCATCATGCCCTCCCCCCTCCTCTTCCCTACCCAGATAGCTGTATGCTTCCTCTCCACAGCAGGCCAGCTCCCGCTGCTGTCCATCCTTCTTCTCAGCCCTATTGAGACCAATTGCCTTCTGGATAAATTGCCTCAGGTCCTCACGTCAACATTCATTTCCCTCAGCACCCTGTTTAAATGAAACCATCCCCCCATCAGTCTGGTCTTGCTCAGAATAGGGACTGATGTACCTACAAGGAACATGGATCCTCAGGGACAGAGGTCAGATGTCATCTTTCATCACTCTCCAATCTCAGGTCAAGATACAGGGCAGGGGCATGTGTTCTTTCCAAATATTAACAGGAATGGAGCCTTGGGAACACCTGTTTTTTATTCTTCACCCACATATTTAGATCTCAGGATACATTAGAGGACATTGGGACATTATTAACTAGTAGGTGCAGATGTTGGCTATATGACTGAGGAGAAAGGTCAGTTGGGATAAGATGCTCTTGGAGAGATATTTAGTCAATTTCACTTTCCCTTCTTATCTGTAAATGAGATTGATAAAAAGCCCCACCTCATTGTATGATATCCCACATATAACTTCTATAATCGTTTTATTTTTCCTTTATCCTACTAAAAGTAACATCATACACAGATATTAAATGAGATGCTTATATATATATTCGATTACATAGAAGTCCACAAGATATATTTTTGGTGAAAAAATACACAGCACTTATATTTGATCACTTTCATCTATACATATATCTATTTGGGCACACAGGTACAGGCAAATATCCAGAAAGACATTCATCAAAGGGCTGACAATGGTTATAACAGGGGTGAGATTTCCAGGTAATTTATACTTTTGTTCTTGTATTTTTCTTTATTTTTGAAAGGTTTAAGATACTCTTCATAAACAGAATAAAATCTTCAAAGAAAGACACACAAAGAGAGAATAGGCCTTTAAGCAGGCTGAAGAGGGAGCAAGGACAGAGGTCAGGGCATCCTTCTCCACTGCACTGGTATTCACGATCTCATTTTATTCCCAAAGGAAAACTTCATTGTGGATTAATTCATGCAGGTAGAAGCACCCCACCCCCACCCCACCTGCAGTTTCCCAAGCATCGGACTCTGAATACAGTTAAGGGTTCATTTAGGGCTGGGTCTAGCACCATACTGTGGCTCAGAAGGATCCTTGTGTTCTCGAAAGACCTCCCTTGCCCTCTCCTCTGTATGTGTTAGCTCCTGCAGAGTGATGATCAGATTCTCAAAAACCTGGGTCTTGTTGCTCTCATTATCACAGGTTTCTTTTGAGTGTCCTTCCTCCCCACAAAAGGAACAGCGAGTTGTGTGTTTTCGCTTCCTGGCTCTGCGCATATCCCTAGGACCATTAATCTTATGTCCAGAACCACTGCTGGTGGAAGGAGCCTCGGTTCCAAAATTACTGGGGGGATCGATGACCAACACTTGGTCCTGAGATCTGGCCCTGCCCCTGAAGGGAGGAGCACCTGAGGATGACAGTGGAGGGTCCCCAGACTCCACYAGGATCACATCCTCATCTGAGTCATCAAGGGTATCATCTATCTCTATCACGTTGCCATTGTAGTCTGCATTACTGATCTCTATTGGCTGAGGGCCCTGAAATGCCACAGGGCTAGCTGCCCTCTCCATTACTGGCTCAGATCTTTTGGGCCGCTTCCGTTTAATAAAAGCGTCATCCCAATCTTCTTCCTCCCTTATCATCCTGATTAACTCCAGGAAATTGGGAAGCTGCTCCTGCTCATTTGCATACATCCTGAGAAGACCCTGAAGCCTGAAGCGCAGATTTCTATTCAGCTCAGCTCCTATGAGGAGCTGGTGCAGGCGAGTCTGGTTGGCATCCTTCTCAGCTAAGATGCCTGCCTGAATAGCATTCTGGAGCTGCACCTCCAAACGGATCACGTAAAGGGAGGCTTTCTCCCCTTGGGCCTGCAAGGTGTTAAAAAAATTACCATGCGCGGTCACACTGCTCTCAGATTCCCCAAACACCAGTTTCATTGCTCGCAAAAAATCTGCCACACTTAGGTTGGGGTTGGCAGCTTGGAGCAAACGCATGACCTCTCGAGCAGGGCCCCTAAGGGTTTTCATCAAGCGCTTCAGCTTTTCCTCCTCAGACATATTCCAGTCTGGCAGGACCCCATTGACTTGGGCCAGCCAGTTTTCAAAGGTTTCTTCCCCCTGGGCTGGCACCACCCTCCCCGAGAACAACTTCATGTTTCTTTCTGCCATGCTGACCATTAAAGGACCGAGACTCTGCCCCAGAGACCTCAACATGGAATGGGCCCAAGGAGGTAAAGGCGCATTCTGCCGCCGGCTGTTACCCACATGTGTAATGATGTTAGCCATGACTCAAGGCGATAGGGTATCTTAGTGCAAGATGCTCAGGCTTTTCAAAAAGCCTAATTTGCAGGAATACCCAGAGCAAGTTTCCTGGACCGTGCCTTGTAGGGACTGTAAGAGGGAGAGAAAAAAAAGTCAATAAAGCTGCAGGGAACCAGTCTGCTGTAGCATTCTTTAAGCTCTTGAATACCCTGCAGTAGGTTTTATCTGCCCATTGCCCTAAAAAATATCCTTCAGGTGACTGGTAGTTAAAATCATTCAAAATAACAAGGTGTCCCTGTGCTAGACTTTTTTTTTTTCAGTCATATCTATATCCCTTCCCACCTTTCCTTCAGGAGGGGCAGGAACTGTTGTTTAGAATTGTAGGTAAAAACCTTTGAAGCCAATGTTGAGCTCTCAAAAATAGAGTGCAACGGTGTAAGTCTCACAGATTTATGATAATAAGTAAAATATCCATTGATCTGATGGTCTTAGATCTCAATCACACCCCTTTCTCAAAGTCTACCCGGTTTTGGATTCTTACGCGTGCTGGGAAATTAGTGCTTGCCTTTATTTCATGTCCGGCCTCTGCAACAGGTGTCTTCAATGAGAGAGCTTGTCTCCCCAGTATGGCCGATCTTTGTCCACAGGGGGTCGCAGATCCGGGTGCTCTGAGCTTGGAGACTGCGCCACTGCGAAGGGATTGGAAGGGTCAAAGACGTCAGAAGCTGCCTCACCCGTCATGCCGCTACCCGCCCCCACCTCCACTATCACCAGGCAGAAAATTCCTTCTCCCATCTTTTGAATACCCCCACCCCCATTATATCCCCCCCCCCCGGGAAACCATAAGCCTACCAGTTCTGCAATCAGATGCACAGAATTCAAGTTCAAAATTGGCTTTAATGGACTGCTATGGAGAAAGGGAATAGGAGTTAGATATCCCCACACCTTCGTATTTCATTTCAGGAAGAGATGAGATGCAAAGGGGATTCAAAGATAGCTTGAGAATCCTCTTTCATGCCCCTTGCCACCTCCCTAAAAATACCCCCTCCCCAGCCCTGGCAAATCCTACCCAGTCGCATCCAGGTGAACCCCACCTCCTTCCTCAGTGCAGCCAGGTCACGGGAGTGCGCCTTCCCCTGCTTTGCAGATACTGATTCTCCCAAGCCGGTAGCCGCCCGGCTCAGAACCGGTGGGCCTTCACTCTCTACTCTCTGCGTCATGCGAATTCCGCATCCCCCCCCCCCCTTTACCTTGGCTCCGCAGGTGGGCAACGGATGCTCTGGCGTCGCCTACAGTTCGGTTTCACCTTCCAGTCTCTGTGGCCCTGCAGGGGAAAAGGATGGCGCCTTCTCGGCTGCTAACGAACGCGGGCTGCCAGACCCTGCAGCTCAGCAAGGCTGCCCAGAGAGGGGCGGCTGAGTCTAGGCAGCGCGGTTTCCAAGGCAGCCGCGGCTGCCCCCGCCCTCCGGCTCGGCCCGCCTGCCCAGCAGCGGCGGCTGCTTTTAGCCTCTGCCCATTGAGACAAAAGAGTGTGACGAGGGGCGGCGTGGCCAATCAGCGGGGCGCGAGGGCCGCCTCCCCGCGCAGCCAAGGGCCCTGATGCTCAAGCTAGCAAGAGGGGGGGAGCGGGCTGGCGGGGGCTGCGGCAGACAGGCGCGGGAGCCAGCGCGGCGTCAAGTGCAGCTCGGACCCACGGACCGGGCCCATTTACATTTCACTCGTGAGTTTGCTGCTTCCTCTCACTTCCCTTCTTCCAATCCCCTTCCGCCTCGGCTCTCCTCTGCTCTTTGAGACTGGATGCTTTAAACACGAGGTGGGACAGAAAGCAAGTGAACAATGAGAGTTCCTCACCTTTGTATAGAGGGAAGGGGGGTGGGTGGGAAGCATCTACTTTTTCCGCTTTCCATGTCCAAGTGCGCTCACATGGACATCTCATTTATTCTTCACAGTCTCCTTGAGAAGGCGGTAGCAGTGTGCCCATTTAACAGAGAGGGCGACATAAACACCCAGGCAGTACGGTTAGAAGTGCAGAGCTAAAAGCTGACACTCAAGTCGTCATATCTGACTTCAAAGGCAGTTCTTTGTAAACACTCCTTTCTACCATCATATTAAGGGTTAGTTGTGAAAAGCCTAAGTGGGCACGAGAGGACCAATTTGGGGCTGTGTAGAATTAGCGAGCAAAGACTGCTATCTCCGTTTTACAGATGAGGAAATTGAACCAAAAGGAGCTTAAGCGTCTTGCCCTGTATCCTGCAGCAAATAAGTAGCAGTGTCCGATTTTGCACCCCAGTCCGTTGTTCTGTTGATGCCAGGTTTTTGCCCTGCTGCGCTGCCTGGAGAACATTTTATGTAAGTAGTCTCAAACCATTTCAACAGCAACCTTGGTGTGATGGTGGTGCTGAGGGATGGGGTGAGGTGGGAATGGGGAAAACAAAAGAAGAGGAAGGCAATCTTTATGGTACCCATTGTACAGAAGAGGAAACTGATGCACTTTTCTTTTCCTTTTTTTTTTTTTACACTAGATTTTACCCCACAACAAGCTGGCCAGTTTATACAAATAACATTATTTCTATAGCCCATTATGACTCCCAAAGGAGACAAGGCTCAGAGAGATGAAATAACTTGCCTAAAATTATCAGGTGAAGTCAAAATTTTGAATGAGTCTCTGAATACAGAATTCATGCTATTAACCAAAATGTGGGTAACCAGGCTGGCTGCCTCAGAGTCATCTTGGAGAGCTTTGCAAGATGCAGATTCCTGGGCCATGTCTGGGGGTTTTGTCAAGGACTAGAAGTGAGCAGTGTGATCTGTATTTTTAACCATTGCTGTAGTTGATTCTGAGGTGTAGACCACTGTTTTAAGTGCCACACCATGCTGTAGGCTGTAAGTAAATGGGCCTGTCATCAGTATATTTGTCCAGAGCATACCTGTCATGAAATGTTACTCCCAGGCAAAGGTTCCTTCCTACGGTCCTTCCTGAAATTGTATGCAAAGAATTTGAACTCTGTGTGTTTTTCTGAGTCTACAGCTTTGTCAATGTTTGAATGGATCTATGGCCCCCAAACAGTTAAGAACCACTCTGCAACAGTCTTTCTTCATGACATCTTCCTCCTTCAACTCCTGCTTGAGGAAGAAGTGTGAGAAATGAAACACTATTTGACCTCACCCCCACACCACAGCTCTGTGCCGCTGATATAGCTCTTTCATTTCCTGGCTCAAGGATAGGTTGCTAGGTTGCCCTTCTGTGAGCTCTTCAGGAGACTTCTCCTTTGCTGGCTTTGGCATCACTGGCCCCAGAGAAGGAGCAGCTCCATGGAAACGGCATGCAGGGCTGTCCAGAGTGAATGGGCCATGAAGCCAGTGGGTAGAAAACCTGCTCCATTTTCTTTGACGTCTGGTTCTTAGAGAGCAGGTATTACTTCCCTTATGTAGCCTGTGACCAGGAGACCTTGATGGGACTTGTTCTTGATTCCTGGTGCTTGGAAATAAATGAGCAGTTTGATGGTGTTCAACCCTGTTTGGTTCAGCTTCAACCTATTGAGGTACTTCACCTGTTTCTTTCTGCCCTCTTATTTACAACCTTGTTATCTGGAATTTCTTGGAATAACCAATCCAGATTTGGAGGGGGGAAGCACCTTCCATTCCAGAATTGTGGCCTTCCTCTTGGGGATGGAACAGTGTTTTAGTGGTGGTAGAAGGTGGAAAGTGCTAGAGGCACAAAGAAGATGGATTGTGCATCTTGCACAGGTAGGGGTGAGGCTGGAAGTAGCAATTGGGTATCCTTTAGACTCTTGCTTCTGCTCCCAGTGCTATGATGTTTGACCCTGGCCTCTCAGCAGACTCATATTCTATGTTTTTATTGGCCTTATCTCTAAATTGTGTATATGCCATTGGACCTGGTGAGGGTGGAAACAGATAGGACCAAGAATATATCTCAGTATTCTGACAAAAATACTAAAGGCAAATGAATTGTGTAAAGGTATAGGATTGGGCCATTAGAACAAAGTAAGGGTCTCTTTGAGCAGCCTTGGGAGCAACATTGCAAATTTGCAAGTCCACTCCAATTGGATACAAAGATTCCTTATCTCTGGCCTCATATGTGGGAGTGTGTTCCAAATGATGGTTCTAATGAGACCACATTTTCCAGTTTCAACAAATAAGCCTTTTAAAAGCTTGAAGGTTAGGAGATAAAGCTCTCAGATGATACAATAATAGCAACTTTTGGCTCCCTGCCTCCTCCTTGCCAGGAACTTTCCATCTGTTATTTCATTTAAGTTTCTCAGCAACCTTTTTGAGACAGGTATTGTGATCCCATTTTGTAGAGCAGGAAACTGAGTTTCAGGGAGGTTAAGTAACTTGTGTTAGGCCACACAACTTGAAAGTAGAGCTACTGGACTCTAGCCCAGGGCTGGCAGGGTCCAAAGCCCATGAAAACTCTACTGTCTTCCAAACAAGCAACTTAAAATGCATTCTGCAGAGCTGGTAGAACACTTGCCTAGCATGTCTAAGGCACTGGGTTGATCCCCAGTATTGAGGGGGAAAAAAAAAAAAACATTTGCAGATGACCCCTGCATACCACCAATGGCAGCCTTTGGAATCATTTAGTTGTAATCATACCTTTTTGATATTATCTCATTTTTTTAAAAAAATGAAACTACTAACATCAGTTATGGAGCAACTTATATCCTCAGATGTTTTTTTGTTGTTGTTGCGTTGTTTGGTACTGGGGATTGAAGCCAGGGGCCCTTAACCACTGAACCACATCCTCAGCCATTTTAAAATTTTATCTAGAGACAGAGTCTCACTGAGTTGCTTAGGGTCTTGCTGAGAAGCTGAGGCTGGCTTTGAACTTGCAATCCTCCTGCTTCAGCCTCCCAGGCCACTGGGATTACAGGTGTGTGTCACTGCACCTGGCTCCCCAGTTTTATATGATTCATCGCATGCAAACTTTTTTTTTTTGGTACTAGGGATTGAACACAGAGGTGCTTAGCCACTGAGCCAATCCCCATCCACAGCCTTTTTTA